TCTGTCGCGTAAATGTTTGGAAACCACCAATCATGTGTTCACCCACAAAGTAAGTTTTGTTGTGTTGAGTTTCTTTTTTTACATAATCTAATGCGATTTTTTGTTGTTGTTACAGGTGGAATTGGAAGGCAAACCTGTCACCAATCAAAGAAGTTCCGGCAGATGCTGGCTATTTGCCGCCCTCAATTGCCTGCGTTTGCCCATGATGAAAGAATACAATCTGGATGAATTCGAATTCTCTCAGGCTTATCTCTTCTACTGGGATAAAATCGAACGTTGCAATTATTTCCTAAATAATATTGTAAAAACTTCAAAACGTGGCGAAAAGGTTGATGGACGTCTGGTGTCATTTTTATTGAATGTAAGTTGAACCATTGGAATTTCTGTTTAAGACTTTAATGATTTTTTTTTTTTTTTTTCTAGGATCCAACCTCTGATGGCGGCCAATGGGATATGCTAGTTAATTTGATAACCAAACATGGAGTTATGCCAAAGAAATGTTTCCCCGAAAGTTACAGTTGCGAATCCAGTATGCGTATGAATGGTGTTTTGAAGAGCAAAGTAAGGCCAATTACATCATTGTGGAAAAGTTACAGGTTTATGGTTAGGGGGATTAGAACAATTTCTAGTAAGGGTAATGACATTGTGTATGAGGAGTAATATTATTGTCAAACTCAGATCGAGTTCGGAGATTGCCAATATCCGTCCACCCCTTCTGGTACCTCCCCCACAAAATGTAAATATTTTCAAAGAAAATAATTTCCTGCACAGAAAGAGAAGGGATAATCCGATTTTGATCCAACAATTTCTAATATTTCCATCAGTGCTACGTCAGGTGCGAAAATGGACAATATCGGTCAACTTCATCAAGTACCTCCCCCTCAAAGGGTCCAAATTTTGAATACTTATAACTCTTATAAAATGTGATGTGTCTTCAAATTACACACATTACAATATTTTTATTAATCCAAGGTCTGGCGTGGGGATGGAATATATCGGTCCACTCCTTCTGGTACCTGCCCCATAAGGGTCATTTTTTTTTTTTTTGAATATTCATGAAGCTCATAAAACACGAAACTAACATCCGCTTCCATTCAGACTTGGCACATCTCAATTTTTCCATCAACATAAGATCTGTTGTAAATATGGTATAGATCGTGCCATTTCTTCTGGTACCTCCCCCACAAAGGTGAAGGTTTTGAATAACCATTACTGTTATAAAATCCGTAATAAGTACCCGATTCTCTTCACATTTCACATATCACTACATTTTTTGTAATCCAAGGTCTGGGGTGAAGATGGAATATACCGGTCCACTCCTTCTGGTACCTTCCCCACAAGGGGTCGACATTTTGAATATTCATTAGGCTCTTAAAACACGAAATTAACCTCGGATTGCATTCAGACTTGGCAAATCTCAATACTTCCATCAACACAAGATCTGCTATAAAGATGGTAGAGATCGGACCATTCCTTCTGGTACCACCCACACAAAGGGTCAACGTTTTGAATTATCAAAACGATCATAAAATCCGAAATAAGCATCCGGTGCTCTTCATATTTCATAAATCTTAACATTTTCGATAGCGCAAGATCTGTTATGAAAATGGTAGAGATCGGAACATTCCTTTTGGTACCTCCCCCACAAAGGGTTCAAATTTTGAATAACTAAAACGATCATAAAAAGTTAAATAAGCATACGGTTCTCTTAAAATTTCCAACATCCCATTATTTTTACTAACACCAGGTCTGCTGTGAAGATGAAATATATTGGCGCACTTCTCCGGGTACCTTCCCGCGCAAAGGGTTCAAGATATTTGAAAAGCAAAACGCACAAAGAAAGCGGTATAAGCATCCAACTCTTTTCAAATTTCATACATCCAATATTTTTGCTAACACAGGATCTGTTGTGAATATGATATATATCTGCGAATCCCTTCTGGTAACGATTATATTTTTATCTTTCATAACTTGCGAAACACGACAGCGATTCTTTACAACTTGGTATATCTAAATATTTGAACCAGAAACCTGAGATGAATATGGGATCTACTCCATAGATTGCCAACCATTTGAATAATCATAATAGAGGTCAAAGTATTTTTAAATAATCGAACATCGAACACTCCTTCTGGTACCTTTCCTAAAAAGGGATAACATGCGAAACAATTCAGCCTTTTCCATCAAACTTCGTGTATCTCAATATTTTTGTTAATCATAGATCTAATAGATATTTCGGTCTACCCCTTCTGGTTCAATTTTTCACTTAACAATTATTCCTATAGAGTAATTTTTCAATTTTTTTTTAAATTTTTCAAAAAGGCTGAGGGTATTAATCTGTCGGAAAAACCGACTGATACTTTCTAACTTATTTTAATTCGAATTAATATATTTTATTCTTCATTTTGTGTAGCTACGTGAATATTCCAAAGTGCTGCGTGACCTGATGGACACTAACCCCTCCGATGAGGAAGTTAATGCCAAAATCGATGAAATGATGGGTGAAATCTATAAGGTCGTTGGCATTTGTTTGGGTATACCATCCAAAGAATTTACCTGGGAGTATTATGATAAAACCAAAAATTATCATTCGGTGGGACCAATTACACCACTGGAATTCTATGAAACCAAGGTTAAACCATTATTCAATGTTGAGGATAAGGTAAGAATTTAAAAACGAAATTGTCTGAAAGAACGCGTCCACATTCATGTCTATTTTACCAAAAAATGAATCTTTCAGGTATGTCTAGTTACCGATCCTCGTCCATCTAGCAAATACAATCAGGCCTATACCGTAGATTGTTTGGGCAATGTTGTTGATGGCCGCCCTGTTTTGTACAATAATCAACCCGTTGAAGTCTTACTGCAAATGGTTGCAGCTAGCTTAAAGGCCGGTGAGCCAGTATGGTTTGGTTGCGAGGTGAGCAAACGTTTTGCCGGCAAGCAAGGCATTGAAGATTTGAATGTGTAAGTAAATTAAAAAATATTCAAATGATGAAGATAATAATTTATTTGTTCGCATTGCAGCCATGATTTCAAATTGGTATTCGATATTGATATTCAGAAAACTCTGACCAAAGCTGATCGCCTAATTTATGGTGAATCTGCCATGACTCATGCCATGGTATTTACCGCTGTCTCTTTAGATGTAAGTGTAGTCCTTTGTACGAAATCACACACATACTTAAAATATCTTTTAATATTTTCCCCTTTTCAGGATAATGGTGAAGTGAAGAAATTACGCGTTGAAAACTCTTGGGGCGAGGATCGAGGTGAAAAGGGCTATCTGGTAATGTCAGCTGAATGGTTTAAAGAATTCGGTTTCGAAGTGGTCGTCGATAAGAAATATGTGCCTGCCGATATACTAAGTGTGTTCGATCAGGATCCCATAGTTTTACCCGCCTGGGATCCAATGGGTACATTGGCCCAATAAAATGTTACCTTTTTATATATAAATATAAATTCAATAATATATTTAAATATTTCAATTAATGTCTAAAGATGGAACATACCTTCATCCACAACAACACCAACAAAACAATCCCAAACATGCTTTTTACTATAAATCAAGGTTTTCTCACTATATACTAATATAAAAACAAATGTTGGCCTTTTTGCAAGGCAATCAATCACCAACCACCCCCTCATATCCAATTTGTCTATGCATCACTATAAGCAAAAAACAAATATATATATAAATATGTATATGCAGTTCACCCATCTCTACTATATATAATCTTATACATTTTTATAAAAATACATAAATAGCTACTTAATGTTATGTGATTTTCTTTTTATCGTTTGGAACGACTTCTTACTCAACGGAGTTTTTGGCAACGTTAATATAATTTAAGATCCGGCCAATAGCAGAGTTTAAATTTAAATGAAAACTGTTTTCTTCTTATTTTAGAATTTTAAAAGATTCAATCTTTGCTGTGACAAAAAGGATGGGTATCGCTGGAATTTGAGAGTAGGTTCCCTGGTTGATCTTGGGTTCATAGTAACAGAAAATATCCTTTCAATAAGTTGTAGAGACAGTGTTTCCAATCAAAAACGCATAATGAAATTACAGCGCTGACAATAAAGTAATCGCTAAGACCTACCGACTAAAACAATTTTGATAGCCTTTATTTCTTTTTCTCTCACCTATTTTGCCGTTCTGTGTGAGCTTCTTGCATTCGGGTACCCAAAGAATGTTTTGTATCCCCATTCTAAATTGATAATAAGTAATACCAAAACGGGGATCCGCACGGAAAATTTTCTGCCATAGGCTGTAGTTTCCATTACGAACTTTAAACACCAAATTTTAAACAATACCGGTGAATAATGTCGTTAAAATCATCAAAATACCGAATATCGGGAGGTACCGTTATATGGGGGCTATACGAAGACGTGGACCTGCACGGACAATTTTCTGTCATAGGCTGTAGTATCCATTACGAACTTTAAATACCAAATTTGAAACAATTCCGGAAAATAAGGTCGCTAAAATCATCGAAGTACCGAATATCGGGATGTGCCCTTTTATGGGGGCTATACGAAGGCGTGGACCTGCACGGATAATTTTCTGTCATGGGTTGTAGTATCTATTACGAACTTTAAATACCAAATTTGAAACGAATCCGGTGAATAATGTCGCTAAAATCATTAAAATACCGAATATCGGGAGGTATCATTAAATGGGGCTATACGAAGACATGGACCTACATGGCCCATTTTCAATACCAAAAGTCCTGCAGACATAATACACATTTGAGCTGGAGTGATTTCCACAGATGGGCGGACATCGCTTGATCGACTTAAAATTTTATGCTGATCGATGGTGGAAGGTATAAAGCTCTAACATTCTACATTAATCCGATGCTACCAGAAATTTCAGGTCAATTCTGGCTATATTGAAATAAATTCCTATAGATATTTTTTCGATATCGAATGAAAGAATGTTGTCCCTGATGTTAAAAGCATAACTGAATAAAAACTCAACCCCAGATGGCGGTAAATATGTGGCAAATAAAGTGTTTAATTTTTGATCAGATTTTAAAAAACTTAAATTCCTCCCGTAAGAAGTCGTTTTACAAGAATATAGCTTATTTTATTTTAGATGATGTTGTCGTTGTTTCGGGGGGAAATAATACATAAACAATTAACAAAGTACTCAATGATTTTTTACAGCCCCTGAGTTTTAAGCCGCTAGCTCTTAACACTAAATGTTGGTGCATTATAGACTGTTTGGGAATATATCTTTTGCACGTCTTGTTGTTTTTCTAGGCCAAACTAAATACATCCTGCATGTTTCACCATTACGGCACTGCTTTTCCTCGCTTCTGCAATCGCAGACTATATTCATATTGTAATCTCAGCCATATGCCTTTACACATTTTCACCAAACGGCTGTCGGTTTCCTCATTGGCTCGAGCAAAGGCATACTGTGAACGTATTATATATTTGGCAGTTCGCAAACGTCCAGTTTGTATTAGCGATATGCTGTAATAAAGTAAGCAGCGGGATTGCAGGAATGGATCACCTAGTTGGATGCCAATGAGTAGCTGTTTTCTGGAAATTTTACCGGCTACTTGAGCCTAAAATACAAGAGTTTTAGTTTAGTTAAAAACAACAGTGATTCTAATTGGAATTTGTACTTACACATTCGGAAAATTGTTCACCCAATGCCGAATAGCCACCACCCAATGTGGATAGCCATGACATTAGATAATCGGTTTCAATTTTCTCCCATAATTTGCGGGCCAACATGCGATTCCTGGGAATAAAAACCGATTAATGTTCCAATCCAATACTATTGCCTTATTCGCTAGACTTACCATCTATAATCGATGATGTCTTTGGCAGGTGGTATAATTTGTAGCCACAATAGCTGAGTATCTTTTAAAGCTGGATGGGTACATAGTATTTGCCTATATTCCTTGAAATTAAGCAGCTCTTTGAGCAAATAATAGAATGCTATGCCATCTATGCAGATCAAAGTTCGCCTCAATGTCCTGCATTGTCGTTGCCCTGAGGCATTTGCGGTGTTCTCCCGAATGACATTCTTAGTTATGACATTTATTCCATATGATAATTTGTTATTGTTGCTGTCTTCGGGATTTAATTGATAATAATCTCTTTTTCGCCAATAATCACTTACACATAGAATTAATTGCATTATTTATACATATACCAGGTATGGTACCATTTGTTATCAATGTCTTCCAAATCCTATATTTATCCAAATAACAAAAATTACCATTAGATTAACCTGAATACGATAGTTCTTTTAGATATATTAAAGAAAGAGATAACTTGGAGGTGTTGCTTTAAGATTAGAACTTGCTTGTCGTAACTCTTGACAAGTTGACACACAGCAACACATGCAACACAGGACTTCTTTGGAAATGTAGGTTCCTTGTAATTTGATCCCGGGTGGGACCTGAAGGAATGGTCCGATCTCCACCATCTTACAAATAATGCCACTTTATCCTTGGTTGTCCAACGTTACTTACCTGTTTTTTTTATGTTTTTTAAACAATAATCCTGTTCAACAAATTTGTCCAATCCAATTCCTTGATTGTTTTATTGGTTTTATCCCTCCTTTACTGGTTGGTTGGTTGTTCGTTGCGAGCATTGGAAACAAAAATGAAAAACGTCCCAAAGAAATGAATATGAAAGCCACAAAGGAATACCCGATAAAAAATAAACAGAAAGCAAAGACTCGGGGTACTCTGTTGTTTACGAATGAGACGTGAGAAAAATGAACATCTTTACTAAAGAATGGGGAACTAATCGCTACTATCGTTTTCCATTGCCAGTGTTATTAAATAAATTTCACACTAGAGGTGGCAAGCAATCGATGTCATTATCGATACTTTATTTTAAGAGGGAATATCTAATTATAGTTTTTTTCTATTGATACTGTTGCACGAAATAGCTGTACAGTGGTAGAAATTAGAGGTAGAAGTGAAATTATAAAAACGGTTCCAATGCTGGCCGAATCGGGTTATGCGGATGGAAAGTCCCATATCTCTGGACTCAGTAAAAGTATTAGCACAAATTGTAGCATTTTGGAAAGGTAAGAGTATCAGCTATAAATTGCCATCAATGTTGTCGACCCCCCATAATGGGACCTTTTTGGGGGATTTATACAAAATATGGGTCAAAAAATCGATAATTTAACTATAACTTCCGACCACTTACCCCATCATGTGACCACTTGTTGGATAGGTATTTTCATAAGCCAACGATACCTATATTGTATATAGGGTAATTGGATCCGGGTCTAGTCGGGGTCCTGAACCCGGACTTTGGGGTCAAAAATCTGGGGTCCCGGGTCCGTCCCCCAAGAAAAAAATAGTTTCCCGGGATCAGGGTAAAATACCTACCACTGGAAAAAATTGAAGAGTTTTTACTAAACTAGAGTTAAGCCAAATTTTAAATCGATGTCATAGACAACTGAAAATATAGCCAACAGAATACTCTCACCGCTTATCATTGTAAAAACTCTGATCAGCAGATGTCGGTTATATCATTTCAGGGGTATGTGTTAAAATATAGAAGTCACTCCATTTGAGTAGATCGACTGCGTCAATCAGTATGTTGGCATTGTAAAACGCAATGAGAGCCACCTGCATAAAAAGACAAAACAAACTTTCCGTTGTCTAAATATTCATTTGTCTTTGTCGATATATTCCACATTGATACTGGATATAATTGCTCTGTTCCAGAACTGCAAGAATATAATTATTTTTATTATTTTTACTACGACTATCGATTTCTATATATTTAATACGAAATAAATTGCAAAACTAGTAGATTCTTACAGGTTCGAGAACAGAGCAAATATACAAGTTATAAAGCAGGTAATATCTGCTGAAAATGAAAATTAAAAAAAACTTTAAATACGAAATTTGAAACGATTCCGGTAAATAATGTCAATCATCAATATACTGAATATCGGTGGACATTGATAAATAGATGCTATATGAGGACATGGACCTGTATACGCAATTTCATGTCTTAGATTGTACCATGATACAATGAAGAGAAGGTAGGTCAACTTTGAAAAAATTGCAAGTATAGAGATCTACCTGTTTGGCTTGTAATGTCAGAATTAGTATCAAAACAATAAAAAATCAAACAACTTGTTGCATTTATTTTGAATAAATAATTGAAAACCGCGAAAACTGAATGAAAGGTCAACACTTCTTTTCAAAACCAGGTTCTATATATCTCTAAAGGATTATTTCGCTACAAAAACTCTAGATTTTGTCAATGCATACGATGCAATAAACATTTTGAAAACATCCGAATTTGAATGTTTTCTGAACAATTTTTTTTTGTTATTGAAAAGAAAACACATACATAAACAAATAAAGATGGCATATTAAGCCAAGAAAATATAAAAATTGAAATCATATGGTATCATAGCCCTACCTTGATATCATTGTACCATGGATTGTACTACCCATTAAGAACTTAAATACGAAATTTGAAACGATTCGATAAAATCACCAATATGCCGATTAAAGAAAGGTACGTTAAATGGGGGATAAACGAAGACATGGACAGTAGTACCCATTACGAATTTGAAATACGAAATTTGAAACAATTCCGTTCTATGTCTCTGAAATAATAAAAATAGCGAATATTTGGAGGTACCATTATATGGGGGCTATACCAAGACGAGGACGATGGTTACAACAAGTTAAAAAGTATCTGTCGGTTATGCCGATAGATTTATACTCTCAACCAATGTTCGATTTTTTCTTCTGTTATGATTATTGGAATTGTTGACCCTCTATTTAGTAGGTTCCGAAGGAATGGGCCAATATTGTCGGACCAAAAAAAAAAAATGATATAAATATTGTGACGTGCCAGATATGGACTATATTGGTTACTTCCTTCGCTTTAGAAATAATTTAATTTTTAGAAAATGTTAAAATGTGCGTGAGACACGAGATATAGTAGACCGAAATATTCAATTTTTATACTTCATCTAATGCAGATTAATGTATTGATATGAGCAAAATTAAAAGAAAATCGAACATTTATATCAAATTTTATGCGAAATCATAAATTCCACATTCATCTCAGTTTCTGGTTGAGAGAAATATTTAGATATAGCAAGTTGTAAAGAATCGCTGACTTCTTTCCAAAGTTATGACAGATAAAAGTATTGAAAATTTTGAACCTCAGAACGGGTCCGCAGATATATAATCTTCACAAGTGTGAAATTTGAAAAAAATTGTTTTTCAAAATCTTGAATTCAATGTGGAGGAGGTACTAGAAGAAATGGCTCGATCTCTACCATCTTTTTAATCTTGCGTTGATGGAAACATTCAGATGTACCAAGTCGGAATGAAATTGGATGTTAATTACAGGTTTAATGAGTTTCAAGGATATTTAAAATTTTGACCCTTTGTAGGAGAGATACCACAAAGAGTGGACCATCTTCACAGCATATCTTTTGTTAGCAGAAACAATGGGATGTGTGAAATAAAAGAGAACTGGATCCTTATTTCGGATTTTATAATTGTTTTGGTTATTCAAAACTTTGACCCTTGGTGGGGGAAGTACCATCTTAATAACAGCTCTTGTGTTTATGGAAATATTGAGATGTGTCAAGTCTGAATGGAATCGGATATAAATTTCGTGTTTTATGAGCTCCATGGATATTCAAAATTTTGACCCGTTGTGTGGGAGGTACAAGAAGGAGCGGACCGTCACATTTTATAAGTTATAATTATTCAAAAATGTAACCTATGTGGGGAAGGTATTTGATAGAGTGGACCGTTATTGTCCATTTTCGCACTTGACCTTGCACTGCTGCAGATATTAAGATTTGCAAAGTTGGTGCAAAATCGGACTATCAGTTCTCTTTTTGTGCAGTAAAATATTTTCTTGAAAATTTCGACCTTTTGTGGGGGAGTGAGCAGATATTGCCCATCTCCCAACTCGATCTAAGTTTGATAATAATATTACGATATACCAAGTTTGGTCTAAATCGGATACTCTCTTTGAGAGTTATCGTGCGCACCAGCCAGAGAAACGGACGGACATTACTAGATCGACTCCAAATGTCCTGAAACGGATTTGGTTCAAACACCTAGGGCCTAGGGTCTAAAACCGTTATATCGATGAGACCTGTTTTGGCCGTATCAAATGGCTGAGGGTATAATGATGAGTAAAATATTTCAGAAATCTTTGTTGTCGCAAAATGGTCAGGCTTAATCCGTTTATTGTTGTTTTTATAAAAACAACGTTTGTTTATTAGTGGAGATCGATGTTAATGTTTACCAGTGGGTAAGGCAGGGAATACCTAGGTTTCGGAAAGAGCCACCAATCCTCGTCAGTTTCTTTGCTTTTTGTCTGGGATATTCTCCCCAGAAGTTATTTTAAAAATAACTCCTATGACAAAAAAGTGCGGTTGTAAGATTTACAAGATTTTCCAAAAGAAATTTTGTTTTATTTAATTCCTTGGTTCCTCTTCTGTTGAGCTTACGATCTCGCCACTTGGGTAAAAAAAAATATTTTTACAACTTTTTTTTTCAAAATTATTAATTTGACAACATTTCATTGTCAAAATTGATATTTATAAATCCATTACATATTTAGAAATCAGAAAAGGGAACCTATTTTCTGGGCAGTGAAATTTGAAAAGGTAAATTACAGAAACTGCAGAGATGGAGGTGCTTATTTGAAATGACTTTACCTTTTCACTTAACCATATTACTACTCAAATACGCCAGGTCCATGTCTCAACATCTACCAACTAATACCGTAAAAGTTGTTAATTTTTTAAATTTGTTCTATTTTTTCCAATTACAAACATCCACATATTTTCAAAAATATTTATTTTCCAAAAAAAAAAAAAAAAAATAAATAAATAAATAAATAATAAAAAAAAATAATAATAAATAAATAAATAACTTATTCAATTGCCAATGTTGAAATTGTTCAACTTTGAAATTTGGTGCGTCCGACGTATTTGGGTAAAGGTTAGAGTATATAAAAGTCTTTTTGACTGGCCTGTTCCACAACTGCAAGTATGTAAACATTTTTACTACGATAACCGATTTTCCCTCTATGATATTGAATAAAATAGCAAAAGTAGTAGATTCTAGGGGGTTCTGGAACAGAACATTTTTTTATTGCCAGAGAAAATTTTGATGTTGAAAAATTTTCATCTCCTTTTTTTACTAGTATTACCATAACACAGCATTTATTTAGGCCCCATTCACCAATTTCCATACATTGCTCATTGTGCCCCCACCCTGCTTACGTTCCCACTGCAAGTTACACCATTTTCGCCTACTGTGCAGAAAGTATGAAAAATACTCTATAATTGCTATATTTTTTGTATCTTATCATTAGTTTTGTAAATTCCTCAATAAGTCTATTTCATATCGACTACAAAAGGCCACCACACCCGATTAGAGGGACTTATGTATAGATATAATTATTAGTACGTTGAAATTTTACCCAGAGCCGTTGTGAATGCCAGTACTTATTATTCATTATTTATTTAAAGACATCATATCGTTCAGAAGGTTTCAAATGTATTAACACAAATCAAATCATTTCGAACCCGACCTACCACCAGACAATGGCAAACCTTTGATGGGTGTTTGAATGACAGGTGGTTGGTGTGGAGT